AATTGTCAAAAGGGCGCTGCTTTATCAAGGCCATTTTGGCAGTTGACATTATAGTAAATATTTAAGTCGACTTTGCGGTATCCAGACGTGTCTAGAGGTTCTTAAAACCTTGCGAATTCTAGACGTTAACAAAGCTAGTGCACCAGATGGTATACCAGCTATAGCTTTAAAGGTTTGTGCACTTGAGTTGTCGCCTGTGTTGACACGCTTGTCCTGCCTCTTATTTAAGACTGGAATAGTTCCAAAATCCTGGAAGCTAGCGAACGTGCATCCTGTTCCAAAAAAAGGCAGCGGTGCTGACCCAGCCAATTATCGGCCAATCTCAATCACCACCATACTCGGCAAGATTATGGAGCGTATAATGAACGAGAACAGAATGACCTCCTTAGTGACTAGCAATACGGGTTTCGCCGAAATCGGTCAGCTGGGGACCTTTTAGCGTATGCCACACATGTATGGGGCGAAGCACTCGAGAACAGTGGAGAAGCACTTACTATTACCCTTGATGTCTTGAAGGCCTTTGACAGTTTGGCACGCTAGCCTTATGGATAAGCTTCCAGCGTACGGTTTTTCCCTGATCTGATTAACTGGGTAAAGGACTTTCTGAGTGAACGGTTCATCCGGGTCGTCAACGATGGCTGCTCATCCGATCCTGTGACGACTAAGGCCTGTGTTCATCATGGGTCCGTTCTCTCCGCAACACTCTTCCTGCTGCATATTAATGATTGGCATAGGCCCGGTATCTGGGTACGCAGACGAAATCACAGTTGTGGAGATACCAACGAAGTCCTCGGGCTACTCAGGATCAAATCCAGTCCACGCCGGGACAGCTGCTTACTTTATATAAAGCGCAAGTCCGGTCGTGCATGGAGTATTACTGCCATATATGGCTAGTACTGCAAAATGCCACCTAGCATCTTAGAACTCAATGGAAAGGCGTGCTAAGAGGCTTATTGATGACCCGAATTTGGTTAAAACTAATCTTACCAGCCTCGAAAACAGGCGCAAAGAAGCCAGACTTTCGGTCTTCTACAGGATGAATTTCGGAGAGTGTGCGCAAGAACTTCATAATTTAATTCCTCCCTCTCCCTTCCACCATCGGACAACCAGACGTTCGACCAGTCTCCACCCTTTCGTTGTTCACTTACCACGAATTCCAACCAAACGGTTTGCTACGTCGTTCATCATACGTACAGCAAAAGAGTGGAATAATTTGCCAGCATCTGTCTTTCCATCCTATTACAGTGTGGGTGTCTTGAAGGCAAGAGTGAATAGGCTTTTGTTAAGTCAGTGTGCTTCACCATCTTAGGCTACATCACCACACCATGTAGCCAAGCGTTGGCTTAGAATAATTTAAAAAAAATTAGTATGGTGTAGTGTAGTTAGTTTTTCTTAAGTTAGATTTTTCGAAGTGTTCCCAATTATTACCGAAGCTTGTTTTTTTTTAAATATATTAGTTATAGTATACGAGTTTGTAGCAGAATTTGTAGCTTATTATTAGGGGGCGTATATTTTAAATAAAACTAAGGATTACAAATGAACTCAGAGTCCAGATGATGACAATAAATATGGCGGCTCATTGACACCTACATCTTATCCTCAATTGACCCCTGAGCACTAAGACGACCTGATTCCTCTCGTTCTCACACTCATCACCATACCAAACACAGCAGCATTGTGCTGCTATTTCACGTGAGAGTATGGTTTTTTCCAGGTGGAACCGACCCATTCGTGATGCAATTATAATACGCTACACCGGCCACCGTGGCTTTACCGCGTACAACGAAATGCAATTCATCTCAGCCTATAATTATATTCTTACAGTATAAGCAGTATAATTACAGTCATGTACTTCACGTTAGTTCACAGACTCTTCAGAATATGTTGGCGGAGCTGTAAGATTAGTAAGTGTAGGCCTCGCACGCTTAGACGTTTTAGATTTTTAGGTGATTTAAAATGCAGAACATGTTATTGAGTTTGAGACTTGCAAGTGAATGAAGTATTTGTAGGCCCCACTTCAAAAATTTTAAAATGTTGATTTTGACGTTTATATATATTTGAGGAACATCCAAATGTTTATAAAACCACCCGGAACTATTCACCGAAATAAGTGAAACTAATTACAAATACTCAATTAGACCAAATAAGAATAGGCTACTATATAGTACCGAAATCTACTCTAGCGGTACATGGCTCTAGTCTCTACTATATGGCATTAAATTTTTAAATAACCTTCCAAATGACATTAAAATCAAACGGATACTACATTATTCTTATCAACATTAAAGTTATATTTAATTGGAAAATGTTTCTATTACTCAAATTAATATTTTGAATAAAACTATTATTTACGGATTTTATCGCGTTTAATTACTTTAATTGTCACGGGGGGGACTATCCCCCCCGTGACCACGGGTGCTGTACAGCACCCGAAACGTCCGGATAATAATAAAAATAAATTAAAGTAGTTACACGCGATACACTCCGTAAATAATAGTTTTATTCAATGTGTAGTGTTCGGGTAAATTTAAGAAATCGGTCGGCAGACCACCCCACATGTCGTTCACCTCGTGAGCCAGGTCCAGATATTTTGATTGCTTGTCTGTTTCGGCTTTCACGAGGTTCTCGTCATACGGAATGGTAATGTCGACCAAAAATATCCTTGACTGTGCCCGGTCCATCAGCACAATATCAGGCTTATTCGCAAGAATAGTCCTGTCTGTGATGATGGTCCGGTCCCAGTAGAGCCTGGCGTGGTTATTTTCTAGCACGGCTTCCGGCAAGTACTTGTAATACGGCAATTTTCGGTCCACGAGACCGTATTTCAGAGCGAGCTCCTGGTGTAGAATTCTGGCTACTAGGTTGTGCCTGTGCAAGTACTCAGAGTTAGAAAGCGCCGAACAACCGGAGATGACATGCCTAAGTGACTCCCCGGGATGGCGATAAGCTCGACAGATGTCGACAGTTCCAATCCTTTAGGATGTATCTCCGATAGTTGTTGGTCTTAATAACCTGATCTTGTATTGCACAGACAATACCCTCAGTTTCCCCGAAGAGGTCACCGAAACGTAGTCAGTTGAGGGAGGCGACTGTATCTACAAAGGGCTCATGTAGAGCCCTGTAGTACCTCCCGTGCATCTCCTTCTCCTTCCATACGGTCTCCCGGTCAGAAATGCTAAGCACTGCTGGGTCCTGCCATTGCTCGTTGGCTAAGGATAGAGGGGTAAGTCCTTTATCACAAGAAATGACGTCCTTATAGAATGGATCATCCGATCTCACAGGAAGTAATTACGAAGGCTGCACACTTCGTGATTATGCATGGTGAGCGTGCTCAGAAAACCACGCCCACCATGCTTCGGACGTCATGGTAGTGCGGACTTTTCTATCCAGAGCGTTAAGTTCAGTCTGGGTCCACCTGAGTATCCCAAAGGTATACATGAGGACAGGCATGACCCAACCGTTATATGCGTGTGTTTTATTCACACCGGACAAAAGGCTGTTAAGCACTTTGGTCAAGCGTGCATAAAACACGTCGCAAACTGACTGTTTCATACCAGCCTCATCGAAACCGATGTTCCGTGACATACCCAGTTTTTTTTTTTGTATTAAACGCACACAAGTGATGTTTAGCAATTCCACAAGATGGGAGCGACTGGAGGCGAATAACTTGAGGTCATCCATATAGAAAAGATGGGTTACTTTTGTACCTCCTTTCCGAAGCTGAAATCCCCTCCCGGAGTCCTCTAGTAAAGTACTGAGAGGGTTCAGAGAGAGGCAAAACCAGATTGGACTCAGACAATCGCCCTGGAAGATACCCCTTCTTATCCTTATGTGGTTCTCCGCAGCCATCATCCGCTCGCCCAGATAGCAAAGGATCGTACTCCATGACCCCATACACTGCTCGAGGAGTCTGTACTGTACAGTCAATTTTGTACAGTTGGAGGACTCTCTTTAGCCATGTATGGGGCACCGAGTCGAATGCCTTTCTGTAGTATATCCAGGCGGCGGAGAAATTCCGACGGTTGCGTTTCACCACTTTGCCAATGACCGCGTCAATGAGAAGTGGTTCCTTGGTTCCACGACCACCGCCCCGACATCCATTTTGAGCGCGTGACATCACCTGATTTAGCTCCAGGTGACGAGTGATACTCGCGCTCAAAATGGATGTCAGTGTCTTATATATGGTGGGTAGACACGTGATGGGGCGATATTTGCTCGGGTCTGTGGTATCCTTATCCTTAGGAACCAAATGAGTGATCCCAGTAGTGAAGAGGCTCGGGAGCGACTTCTGATCGAGAGCCTCTTGAAACTGTCGGGAGAGCACAGCGTGACATACTACGAACCCCTGCAGCCAGTAATGATGCAGCCCGTCGAGCCCCGGGTTTTTCAAGTTCAGGGTCCTACGGACCGCCTCAGCCACGTCTTCAGGCGTTATGGTGACGGGGTCCATAGGCGCAACACTTGCACTCTGGCTCGCCACAACTTCCGTCCAAGGGCCCTCGCTGTGGTTTACGGGCTCTGACCACAGGCCACGCCAAAATGCGACAGTGTCAGCCTGATCCGGTCCTGGGCCCGCTCCACATACCTCTGGTCGCTCCAATGATTTATAGAGCCTCTTCTGATCACTCTGGAAGAGACGATTCTGGTTGAACTGCCTTGACCTCTCGCTAAATCGTCGAATCCGCTTCCCCCAAGCAGCGATTTTTTGCTTCTGGTCGTCTATGCGCTCCGTTAGTTTTTGCGTGATATCCGTTTATAACCCTACGGCATACTGCCAGTACGGCGCCACAAAAGAATTGAGTCCGTCTCGCAAAGGTCCCGGCTGGCTTTCAAATAGGTCACCAGCATTGGGTTAAGAGCCCGCACGACAGCCCGATTTCGCCTGCTAAGGGGTATGCGGGGGAAGTCGCGGTCGATTTTCGAGAGGCATGCTGCGCGTTTCCAGCATCGACTCTTCCAATATGCTCCTCATTTTCTCTAGTTTGTGGGAGACTATTTCATCACCGTCTGAATTCAGCCACAAATGGAATATTGACGGCAACATCCACATATGCAGTTTGTTGCGCATCTAGTGGCGCCGCATTCCCAGCCGTAGCATTTCCATTCGATGAAGGAATAGGCCTCACGTCGTCGTAGTCGTTCGAGTTCGGCGTCACCGAATATGTTGGAGCGCATGATGTACCGAACTCGGTCTGCCAGGTTTTGCTCAGTGACGGATAGAGATGACGGATGGAGAGAGCCCGATACACCAAACATCCAGTTTCTTCCCCTTTTGCCCTATAGTACGCCCGCAGTGCGTTTGAATTCATTAATTTTGACCAACGCATGCGACGTGCTCCACCAGCGGCGGGTGCCGCTTGCTGAGTCCGAGAAGACCCAGCCGACACCAAGCCTTCTGGTGGGGATGATGGATGCGGGGGGTTGCTAAGTGGTCTTGCAGCACCCCGCGCTCGGCTGGCGGCCCGCATGCTGTCGCGTCCAGCGCCAGCTCCAGACGCGCCCTGGCGACCTCCAGGCAGCGGCCCTTTGCGCACTATCTTTTTTCCATCATCCATAATTTGGGCATCCATTAACGGGAGACGCCCAGGCCCGACACCGTTTGATCGTGGACGGCCGTAAGCACAAACGGGCCTTTGCACCCTGAATTCTGCCGAGGCACGGCGCTCACACCTCTCGCAAGGCGCTGACTGACTGCGTTGACGTAGCAGTTTTGTCAAACTCAAACTGTTACGTTAAGTGACAAAACTGCTATTTTGTCACTTAACGTAACAGTTTTGTTTTTGTTTTTTTTTATGATAATTTTTTTATGATTGTTATGATTATTATTATTATTGTTATTTTCGTGGCATTGTAATTTTTAATTGAATTGAATTTATAGAATAATCAAATAATGTATCTTATATTGTATACCTAATTTAATATCTTTTATGATTGCTACGCCCGAACCGGGTTCAAATGCAGACTTCTTTTAAATCATCACATCTTATGTTACCATTTGATTGCAATAAAGATTAGGATTGTGAATGGAAAAATAGCATACAAGTAAGAGGAATATGTAAGCTGTTTGAATCGCTGTTGAAAAATACACCAAAGATTTAAGACCGATACAGCTTTTACAAGCCGGCTTGCTCAGTGTGAAGACGGTGACTACAGTACGTATTTTTGAAGTGAAAATTTCCTGGACATGGATTAGCATTTAATGGACACTTTTGGGATGGGGAAAAAGCGTTGAACTCGCGTGACCGTAACGCTCAGATACATGAAAGTAATGTTGAAAATCTAATTGATAAAATTTTATAAAATTGATATGTATATATAAATTTGTTTGTATTATAAAAATACTGCCGTGCCGAGCCGTGGTAGCTCAGATGGTAGCGCTCGCTGTAAATTTCACAGTACGCGAGTACGGGTTCGATCCCCGCCGGTACCAATGAAATTGTTAATTGCAATTTTAAGTGCTGATTTACCACGTGCTCGGCGGTGAAGGAAAACATCGTGAGGAAACCTGCATGTCAGAGAAATAAGAAAAAAAATATTTCGAAGACATGTGAAGTTCGTCAACACGCATTAGGGCAGTGCGGCGGACAATTCCTTGCAGTAAAACCCTCTCAGAAATGAGCGGAGGCCTGTGCCCAGCAGTGGGACGTATATAGGTAACTTGTAACTTTTGACTTTGTAACTTGTAACTTTGTAACTTTACTTTACTTAACTTTTCTAAAATACTTCCTAAAAATATTTCTTAACAAACCCAAAATAATGTTTATAATTTTGTAAAGCTAAGAAATTTTCACGATAAAACTCTAGACATCCGGTACTTGCGTACGTAGAGAAGCTCCCTACCTTTCGCCTCCTGCGAAAATGTATAGTTTATGAGTAATGATTTTTTTTGTAAAATCATAACCTCACTGTTTACACAGGAATATTGGCCCTAAGTTACTTCTGTAATAGATTCGGCGTTGTGGGAAGTGTAGCCCCTTCGCCCTTGCGTAGCAAATTGCAGGCAACCATGCTCACCTCCGTTAAATTTGGCTTATTAGTCGCCTTCGGCGACCAGCCTCAGCCGCTATGGCTCGCACGGGTTCCTGCAATTTAGTACGGCGGATGGGGACTGCTCTCCCTCCGCGCCTACCTACGGCCTTATAAAACACTCTAGGGATAGGGCAGACAAGACTACGTGGAGTTGGGGCGGGAGTGCGGATTCGGCTTAAGAACAGATTCGACCAATCGTATCTATAAAATCATGTTGCCCTAAACTCTGCTATGATAGTGGTAAATGAAACAATGTAATGTGAATTGTAATAATTCTGTTTTCTGAAAAACGTCTTAACTGCTCTCCACTGCGGCTCAATTTGTTGTATATGAGTCCAGTTTTCAGCCACAAATGGATTGTTTGGGTTCGAGTCATTAACTTTTTTATGGGTGTATCCGTGTTAAAAAAAAAACCAATTGACGTATTTGCGTTTCGTTATAAACAACTTTTAGTGAAAATTATTTTTATCAAGTTGAGTTGCAAATGATGGTTACATTAATGAATTGGGAATTAAAAGAAAGGGGAATGAAAGTGAACGCAAGTAAGACGAAAGTGATGGTTTTTGAAAGAGAAGAAAGCAAACCGGTATGTGAAATAAGAATAGAAGGAGAGTTAATTGAGCAAGTGGATGAGTTTGTGTATTTGGGATGTGTATTTAGCAGGGATGGTAGATATGATAGGGATATAGAACGACGAGTAAATGCAGGGAATAGAGTGAATGGGGCACTACACTCTATTATGAAGAACCAGAATGTGTCAAAAAAGGCACGTATGGTAATTCATAATGCTGTGTTAGTCTCTACTTTAATGTATGGTAGTGAAAGCTGGGTGTGGCAGAAGAAGCACGAAAGTAGAATAAATGCTGTAGAAATGCGGTCTTTAAGAAGTATGCTAGGGTTGAACCTGAATGACAGGGTGAGAAATTGCATGATAAGAGATAAATGTGGTATGCAAGATGATGTTGTGACCAGGATTAAGAAAGGAATGCTACGGTGGTTTGGTCATGTAGAAAGAATGAATGAGGAAAGAGTGACAAAGCAAATTTATATGGCAGATGTGAACGGCCGAGTCGGAAAGGGACGCACTAGAAAAAAGTTTATCGACCAAATTGGCGATATTTTGAAAAGGGGCCACGTTAGAATTACCCTTAACCGACGAGCATGTATGCGTAGATATATGGATTTAAAGGAGGCGAAAGAGGTATGTCAGGATCGTGCCAAATGGAAGTCCGTATTGTCTGCCTACCCCTCTGGGTGACAGGCGTGAGTGTTTATGTATGTATATGTATGTATTTTTATCATAATTCAATTAAAACTCATTTCTGAAATTCAAAAACACTGTAAAAGGTTCAAGTTTAACCCTGACAAACCTCCTAAATTGAAAATAAAATTAAAAAATCAAGTACAGGACGTCAACTTCATAATCATGGAGTATATAGATAAGGAGGACAATCTCCCTTAGGAGAATAGTTGAAAATGTGTCGATCCGTAAGCAGTAAATAATAGTTCAAAAACTCTCCACAACAGCGCTCGAGAAGCTACGGGCTGTGATAAATCTCCGTAAAATACGTTGAGAGTTATTTTGAAAATGAAAATTTTGAAAGCAATAAAATAATTATTGTAAAAAAAATTATGGTGAAAGTCTGTGCAATAAAAAAATTATAAAAAGTTCTTTAAAATTTACCCACAGCGGCGCCATCCTTATTTAGCGCTTTCCACAGGCGCTTTCCTACAGGCACTTTTTTATACAGAGTCTGTACTCCTTACCTCTACACTTCATATTCATAATATTTGCGTTTCTTTTGACATATTTGCGTTTCTTTATAAGCAATTTTTTGTGAAATTTATTTTTATCGTTATTAAATCAAAACGCATTTTGTACACCTAAAACAGTGTAATAGGTTCAAGCTTAACCCTTATCTTAAGCTTAAGCCTCCTAAATTAAAAACATTATTAAATTCAAGTACCGGACGTTTATAGCCAACCCATTTTAAATTCTGAAGTGCAGTCCTACGACAGACAGTTTTTTTTAAAGAATAAAACCTGGATGGCGCATTTCTCATCATCGTCATCGTTACAGCCCTTCACAATCCCACAACTGAATATTGGCTTCCCCCTAGGAATGGCACAAAGCAGCTGCACCTGTATACCTGTATCCATAGATTTCCGGCATCTCTTACCAGGTCACTCCATCTAGTGCAAGACCGCGCTACACTTCGCTTAACGGTGTGATACTGCCACTCAAGAACCTTTTTTTCCCAATAGTTGTCGTTTCTTCAAGCTATTTGACGACATACCCATTGCATATTCAGCTTACTGATACGTTAGGCTATGTCGTTTACTCGGGTTCTATTGCGGGTATTCTCATTTCTACGTCTGGTAAGAGCAAGGAAATCGAAGGATGCAATGGCTCAAGACAGAGTTTTGTGGCATTTCTTTGGGGAAGCCCATGTTCAGCAGTGGACTTGTGCAGAGTTGTAATAATGATGAATATGAAAAATATAATGTATAGTATAATTCATTTCTTGAAAACTATTCTCACAGTCTTCACGCTGCTCGGTAAGCCGTTTGGTATAAGTTGAGCCGGTCTTTAAAACTTGGATAAGTCGCAAAAGTATTGTCAGTCGATCGGTTGAGACGTTTCTCTTACTTTTATCATAATTAATATACAAAAGGTACTCCATAAAACTGTCTTCTTCATGTCTTACATCTTTACATTATGTAGGTAAACATTTTGAACGTTTAGGTCACACTTGATGGCTTTTTACAACTTGAATCATAAATAGCAGGTAGTTCGTCTTGTGTAAATACGTATAAATAAAACACTACGGGCAACGTTTCAAGGAGCTAGTAGTAGATTACCATGTCAAAAGAATTTACGGTTGTGTTTACACGTTTTTGCCACCCGCGCTATAATGCCGAAAAACTGCGAGAACTTTATTATCGCGAAATCCACATGACTCGAAGCTCGAAATTTGCTTGTCGCTCTACAAAGAAAATGCTTCGTTCAAATTCTTTTACGAAAAAATTAAGTTCTAAAAGATATTTAAAGACGGGCCATTTTCAGACTTTTAAAATATTAATTTGAGATATCAATAGACTTATTTACATCCGAGATACTAAATACAAAACAGTGTATGAAAACCTATTACCAATATAAATTCCTCGTTTTATTGTAACTGTAAATGAAAAGAACTATTATGGAAACAAAGTAAAAATAAAGTATTAGATTAATAGTTTTCTACAAAACATACATAATTAGAAAACTTAAGACATAACAAAGTGAAACCTAGAGTTAAATACATTAACATGAGATTTAAACAAGTTAGATTGATGCTAGGGGAAATTTAGCTTAAAATAAGTAAAAACCGAATTTAAAGAACTTAAGAAGTCGTTGCTAAGATATAGTGTAGTATATTGAAGAAATTAAACCCCGAGTATAGAATCTAGTGAATTATGTTAATAATAAATTAATAATTTTATACATTATTATTATTTTATTAGTTTCTTGATGTCGGTTTTTGCATTTTAAGTTTAAGTTTGTGACCTAATCAAGGTAACCTGAATATTTAGGTACAATAAAAATATAATGCTTATTTTTTCACCTTTAGAGGTATTTTTCTTAACGTTTAAGTGGTTTAAACTATAGCTCGTTTAACAAAAAAAAATAATCATTTAAAATCTCTTCAAATTA